CGATTTGACAGCCCTACTGTGGTTAGCTTAAAATTGTCACTTTGGTCCAAAAAAGTTTGGACTAGCATCAAAGGTCCAAAATTTTAATTTTGTTGCGAATTTTGTCCGATTTTGTTTGAACTTTTTTATAAAGACGATTTTGCCCCTGATTATTTAATATTTTAATTTTTTTATTACAACAATTAAAAAGAATTAAAAATAAAAGAAAAAAGAAAATATTTTCTCTCTCTCTCTCTCTCTCATAAACCAATACAATCAACACATATCCTTGTTCTTCCCTTCTGCATTCGTTCCCAGCCAAGAACACAAGAGCATTCTTGTTCTTTTCATGTATACCTGCAAATGAGAAATACAACCACTCCTTGTTATTGATTCATCTTCTTTCCATGGCAATTTCAAGCAACCAAAAACACAAACCTAAACCTAGTGATTTACACCTCATCGATTCTGTCAAGCAAAACAAACATACACCCATCGATTTCCTGTAAAAGATTAACCTCACTCATCCATTACATTTATCCATTTCTGTCAAGAATCAATCAACAAACACTCATCTTAACCTAAATCTATTGACTAAACCCTATGGATTTACTGTCAAAGTAAAAAGAAGAGAGATGAAAGGAAACTTGTGATTGTCGAGCAAACAACAACGCCGAACACCCCCCATCACACATGCCCTTCTTCCCGCCGAGCTCCACTGCCAAACACACCACCTGCGCCGATGTTGCTGCTCTCCTAGCTCAATCGGTTCTCCCTTCCGCATCGCACCTTGTTATCAGAACAGATGAGAGAAGCTTCACTGCCTTCCCTTTCCTTCTATTCAGCCCCATCGATCTCCGGAAACAAAGCTTTCGCAGGAAATCGACCTTCACTACTGCCCTACCCATCCCGTTCCCTCACCTGTTCCATGGTCGACGACCACGTTATACGAGCGTTTTTCATGAATCAATTTCATGTGAGAATTGATTGGTTCCTGAAAATCGATTGGTTTGCATATAGGAGGGAAATGCTTACGATTCATTGCCGATTTTGAGATTTAGAAGGTTGTAGAGAGGCGATTTGAGAATCGAGATCGTCGGGATTGCTTCGAGCAATGATGAAGTCGTTTTGGCATCAAAATCTTCCTTCGCTAACCTTCTGTCACCCCCAATAAAAAAAACCTATACATACACAGGTAGAGTGCTAATCTCTGCAAATTTGGTCTCCGATTTGGCCCTCTCATCCCCGATTTCATTCAAGGTACCTCTAATTTGGTCAACTGAATTTAAGTGGTGGAGGTTGTTAAAGACTTAAGAGTCGACACAAATGAAGGAGATGGCGATTGTTGCGATTTATTGGTGGTTTGGGTGAGGGTTGGCATCGTAGCAGGTGGCAGTGGGAACAGGTGGAGTGGCGGTGCGATTTACCTGAAGAATCTTCTTCATCTTACCTGCAATTCATCATTCTTCAACAATTTGATAGTTTTTTTTTATCTTTTTGACATTTTGTTTTTTATTTTTATTTTATTGTTTTAGTTATTTATGGTTTTTTGTTATATTTTTATTTATTTTGAATCAAGTAAATTAACTTAAATTCGATCAGCCATGTCGAAATTATTTTTTTCTTTAACTTTTCTTATTTGTGAATTGAAGTGTTGATGTTTTTTTATTTTTTATTTTTTTTAATTTTATGTCGTTACTGTTCATTTTTTTTGTTATGCTTCTAATTAATATCGTTAGCAACTTTATGTTTGCATTTATTATTATCAGTATTTGACCTTTTGTTTTCTATTTTTGTTATAATTTAATTATTTATTATTCCTCTTTGTTTTTATTTATTTTGATTCAAGTAATGAAAAAAAAAAACTCAAAACACCAAATTCTAATATACTCTAATATATTAATACATTTTACATTTTCATCTTTTTTTTTGGTTTTTTCGTATTCTTTTTATTTTTTAGTATTATTTTTTTTATTTTTTTCATATTATTTTTTAATTATTTCCTATTTTTATTTTTTTCGTTGTTTCGTTTTATTTTTCATCAACTTGATAACTTTTTTTTCACCTTTTCCAAAAAGTGTAAAATATTTGAATATATTAGAGTATATTACAATTTTGGTGTTTGAGTTTTTTTGGTTTTTTTTTATTTTGGTTATTTATGGTTTTTGTAATTTTTTTTTATTTTGATTCGCGTAAATAAAATAGTTATATTTACAAATATAAATAAAGAAAATAAACATAACTTTTTTATTTACACAAATCAAAATAATAATAAAAAGTTAAGAAAACCATAAATAACCAAAACTAATTAAAAAAATTCGAAAAAACCAAAAAATTATGAAAAGTGTAAAATGTATTAATATATTAGAGTATTTTACAACTTTGGTGTTTGTGTTTTTGTTTTTTTGTTTTTTCTATTTTTCATTACTTGAATCAAAATAAATAAAAACAATAGAAGAATAATAAATAACTAAATATATATAAAAAAACAACAAAATGTGAAATAATGATAATGATAAATGCAAACATAAAGTTGTTAACGATATTAACTGTGGAGCATCAAAGTAAAAAAAATAAAAAAAAATAAAAAAAATAAACCGTAACAACATAAAATAAAAAAAAAAAACATTAACGTTTCATTTCATAATTAAGAAAAAAAAAGTTTTGATATGGTTTATCGAATTTAAGTTTATTTACTTGAATCAAAATAAATAAAAACATTAAAAAACCATAAATAACTAAAATTATAAAATAAAAATAGAAAACAAAATGTGAAAAAGATAAAAGAAAATTATCAAGTTGTTGAAAATTTTGTATATATATAAATTTGAAATTTTGTAATTTTATAAATTTGTAATTTTATAAATTTGAAATTTTGTATATATATAAATTATAAATATAAATTCTGTGTGTATATATATATATATATATATATATATATATATATATATATATATATATATATATATGGAATTTATATTTATAATTTATATATATACAAAATTTCAAATTTATAAAATTACAGAAATGGTCCTTGAGGTTTGTAGTGTATTGCAATATTGGTACAAGGGCAAAATAGTCTTTTCCATTAAAATCTAATAGCTGAAAAGTTAGATTTAACGGCAGGAGGACCTTTCATGTAATTTTACAAACCACAGGGACCAGTCGCGTGACTTTTTGCTAGTAAGTCCTCATAGTGCGATAGTCTGTAAACCACAGGGACCAATTGTGAAATTTTGTCTTAAAAATATATAGAAAAAAAAAAGTTGTTTTTTAATAAATGTAAGTTTTAAAATCCATAAAAAATCTAGTTGTAAAATAAGATTTAGGAGAATTTATAAAATACGTTTAAACCAAAATCATAAAAATAGTTAAAAGTTGGATTAAAATTGTAAGAAAAAATGGAAAGCTGCAAATAAATATATAAAACGTAAAATCTCTATAAAATCAGGAAGATGAAAAATAAATTATCAAAATTAATTATGGACAATAATGATTCGGTACAAATGAACTCGTCAAAAGAAAGTTAGAGTTATTAAATTTATTAAAAAAATATTAAATAAACTGTAAGAATGAATTTTAAAAATAAATAAATGAATTTTAAAAATAAATAAATAACAGTAGCTTTTAGAAAAATGAGGTAAACAAAATAGTTAAAAGAGTGAGATTGATAAAATAAAAATAAAAATAAAATAACTCGAGTTCATAATAAAAATAAATAAAAGTATTATAAAAAATGTAAAACATTAGAGTTGGAGATGGGAGTAACACTTCTTTTTGGCATGATGTTTGGAAAGGTGTCTTTTCCTAGAATTTATGCCCTGGACGTTCATCGGAGTGTCTTCATTCAGGATAGGGTTATGGTCGGTTGGAGTGTTGATTCTCTCAGACGAGTTCCTAGGGGTGGAATTGAGCAGACCCAGTGGGATGAGTTGAGTGATTTGTTGTGTGATCTCCATCTTAATTCTTTTCCTGATCGGTTGGGTTGGTCTATTGATGTCTCTGATTCTTTTTCAGTTTCCTCTGCTAGATTTCTTATTGATAATGCTTTGTTGGTTACGGGTGGTTGTGAGAATAGATGGAATAATTGGGTGCCTATCAAGTTAAATATTTTTATTTGGAGGCTGCGGTTACAGAGTCTTCCAACTAGAGAGAGGTTGTCTCTTCGTAGCATGATAACTACGGACTCCGATTGCGTAGCAAAATTCTGTAGTTATTCAAATATTAGCTATAGAATGCAATTATGTAGCTAATTTCGTAGCAAATATACATACGTCTAACTAGTTTGTAGTATATTCCATAGTAGAATAGCTATGAAAGTAGGATGTTATGATTAGTTTCATGTTATATTTTAAAAAACATGCAATGCATTAGCAAATATCATTTTCCATTCAAATATAAATCAATATTGTATGTACATATTTGTATTTTATGCAATATAGTGGTTGTATGTGGGGATTAAAAGCTTGTATTTTATTGAATGTCGTAGGTGTATCTAAGGGCCGAAATATTCTCGAAACTATATAATGAATGAAATGTACTTGTATTCAGATTAGTTGAATCGTTTTTTTTTATTATTATTATATTTTTTCAGTCTGGATAAACGATTCAATAAAATTCTTAACTTTTCGTTTTGATCACTACAGAAGATTTACTTTTAATTAAATCTAATTTTGGGAGGATGTTTAGCCTTTTAAGATGAAATTAAATTATTTTTATTACAAAGAATTTGCTAATTTTATATGTAAAATCTAAAAATATATATGTTATACTTTATCATAAATGTAAATAATAAAAAATAGCATATTTATAGTCTAGTAACCGGTAACTATTCATTTGACCTTAGTTGTAAATTGGGTTGTTGTGTTTTTGAATTAATTTGGCTAAAAAATAAATACAATTTGAATGTTTTATGTTTGGCATTTATATACCTAGAGTAAGTAAAGGAACACATTACAGATATACATCTTAGAAACGTAAAGACATAAGCCCTTTTTTTTTTATAATATTATTTCTCTCAAATGGAACACGGATGGACGCAAGTCCGTCGGAGGAGATTTCCGGCAAAAAGGTGCAACAAGGGTAATGAAACAAGCTTCTTCGTCACAAACATACCAAAAGGCGTCACAAAGGTGGAGTTCAGGAGGATTTTCTCGCAGTTTGGCAAGATGACGGACATCTACTTCGGTGAAAGAAATGGCAAAAATGGGAAGAACTACGACTTCATTCGATTCACAGATGTCACTGATGCCAAGGACATGGAAACAAGGATGAACGGCAAAATATGCAGGAACAATGTTTTGGAAATTAATATTGCAAGACATGGCAGGAAAGCACCCATCACCAAGCCAATCATAGGAAATAACATACGAAAAGGTCCGGTACACCGTAACAACGGCAAAGGTGGAAGTGGGTTCATCGACAGCAGATCATACGCAGATGTCACTAGAAGAAAGAATCTGAATGAGGAGAACCAAGGCGGAAGCAACGCCCAAGCTCCCGCCATCTCTCTAATACCTGATACGATGATGGAAAGATGGATTCACAAATTTACACTAATTGGCGAAGCCTTATCGCTTGATCATCTTGGACCTTTACCGGCATTGATGTCCATCCATAGCGACAAAGTGGCAGAAGTTAAATATCCTGGGGGCATGATGGCTCTACTCAGCTTCAGTAGCACAGTGGCAGCGAAGGAATTCCTGGAAAATAAGGTGAACTGGGAGAACATGTTCAGATGGCTTTGAATGGGAGAAGATCTCAACGATATCCTGTTCGAAAGGGTAGCGTGGATTCGGATTGTGGGTCTACCAATAAAATATTGGTGTGAACAGAATTTTTCAGAAATCACCAGAAGCTTTGGTAGGATCTTAGCACCATTTAATGAAATCAAAGATAGAGTAGACACGTCATGCGTGAAAATTGGAATCCTCACCAGGTGGAAAAAGAAACTAAATGAAGAGGTTAAGGTCTTACTCAACGGCATTATGGACACTGTCGGGATTGTCGAATATGAAGATGGTCCATGGTTCCCATTCATGTTCGATAAGGAAAAACAACCATATGTAAATGAAGATTACTCATCTGATAACGAACAGACCGAAGATGAGACGGAAGAGGAAGGAAGTGATGAAGAGGATGGTATTTCAGTTACAGATATGAACATGCTGGAAGAAGGGGAAATCATTGTGGACGACAAACACGGTCGTCGGAGATACTGATGCCGGCTGGGTGTGTTGGTGTTAATCCAAACCAAATCAAAGTCATGTGTTTTATTCAAGGATATTTTAGTCTTTTTTTAGGAGTATGACTAAGTATACCACGTAGAGATTTAGTGGGCAGTAGGTGCACTAATTTTAGGATAAGTTATCTTGTTTAAATATCCTTGTAGTCGATGAGTTAATAGAATTGGAATAAACACAGAAAAGTTGCCCCTATCTTCTCTCTTTTTTTTTTCTCTGTTTTTGCTGTGTGAAACAGGGCCTGAACCAACAGGGTGAACATCCTGGAGGCGGTGGCTGAGACGCAGACACCGGCCTCATTACTACAACCTATTCCCGAGGGCACAGGTACCATCGAGAAACAGCAAAGCTCCAGCACGCGGGAAGAGATATCGTCGCCCCAAATTATTCGTGAAGCACGTCAAAATTCGAATCGGGTAAATAGGCCAAATCACCAATTTGAATCGGGAAAAATAATAACAAATGAACATGAGCCATTTGGACTATTAAAGGAGTTGGCCTTAACAGGCTGTTTTGGTCCACTCCCACCTAATACACCCGGCCCAATCCCAGCTATCCCAAAATCGGATGAGAATAATCAAAATTCTGATGCTGGCAGATCTACATTAAAGAGAGAAAGAGAATCCACCGCTCTCCGGTATCTGTTACCATTCCATTCCAAAGTGAAAAGTTAGATAATGTCCATATGTCGACTCCTACCCCTGCTCTTGCATCGTCTTGCGATATTCACCTCCAACCGGATGACACCAATCACCCTCTTTCGTCTCCTCTAACGGGTATGAGTAGCGTCGCAAAGGAATATCCCCCAAAATCGAATGAAGCTGAAATCACAACAACAATTGGGTGTTTGATTGGGTTCGAGCTTGAGTCGTCAAACCCGGTGCTCGCTGACGTATTAGGTAAATCAGGTGAGAACAATGTTGCCCAATGAACTTTTTATCGCTAAATATTCGTGGAATAGGAGAAGAATATAAGGTGAAGTGGGTGAGAACGTTAAAATCAAAACATAGAGTTACATTTTTTGCAATACAAGAAACACCAATAATGGATGCAGAATCTATAGATATATTAGCTTGCTGGGGATCTAATGATTTTGGGGCATCTAGAATAAACGCAACAGGTAGATCAGGTGGGCTGCTAAATATATGGGACAATCGGGTATTCACATCAACGGAGGTAATACACTCCAGACACTTCTTAATCAACATTGGTTCGTGGCCTGGAATACAAGAACCCATTGTTTTTGCCAATATTTATGGGCCACAAGCATCTCGGGATAAAATAGCTTTGTGGGAAGAACTGAGCAGAATCAAAAATGAAAAGAAAGGTGTGTGGGTCCTGATGGGAGATTTTAATGTGGTGAGAAGGCCTGATGAAAGATTTAACTTTACATTTTGTCCTCGATCTGCTCGAGAGTTCAACAGCTTCATACATGATGCAGGGCTTATTGAGTTAAAGATGGGGGGACATAGATTTACATGCTTTCGTAATGACGACTCCAAATTAAGCAAACTCGACAGGTACCTCCTGAGTCCCAGTTTCATCGATCTCATACCGTCAGCATCGGTGACCGCCCTTCCAAAGGAATTTTCAGACCATTGCCCCATACTTCTCTCATCCACTTGGTGCGACTTTGGACCACCCTCATTCAAATTATTCAATTCCTGGATGTTGAGGGATGGATTTGAACCAGCTTTTGTAAAGGCTTGGAATAACTTCAGTGGATTTGGGACACCAGACTGCTATTTGGCGGCCAAACTTAGACATGTCGAAAAAGCAATAAAGAAATGGAGGGCGACAGACAGATTATCCGAAAGAAGAGGCAGTAATTATGAAACTAAAACAGATTGTCGACAACCTAGACACGGTGGCTGAATCAAGATTGCTCACCAGGGAAGAATTAATCCTCAGACAAAATAACTATAAAGAAATTGCAGAAAAAGAAAAGATGGCGATATTGGACCTCAAACAGAAATCAAAAATCAAGTGGATGGTAGATGGGGATGAGAACTCTAGGTTCTTTCACGGATATGTCAATAATAACAAAAGGAGGAACAGGATCAATGGAATAAAGATTAATGGTGAATGGTGCACTGACCCATGCAAGATCAAGCTCGAGACTTTAAGCTTTTTTAAAACAAAATTCACTGAAACTTGGCCTTCTAGAGCAAACCTAATAAGCCCCCTATTTAAAAAACTTCCGGCTTCTAAACTTCACAATCAAGAGGCCCAATTTCCCTTGATGAAATTAAGGCATCAGTTTGGGCATGTGGCAATGAGAAGGCTCCGGTGCCCGACGGGTTTTCCTTCAAATTCATAAAAAAGTATTGGGAAGTTCTTTTTGGTGACATCGCAGCGGTAGTAAAATACTTCGAAATACATGGTCGGCTAGATAAGTCTTGTAACTCGTCCTTCATATCCCTAATCCCAAAGATTAAAGATCATCAAATGCTAAGTGACTTCAGACCAATCAGCCTTATTGGGTGCATTTATAAAATTATCGCGGAAATTTTGGCTACTAGATTAAAAAAAGTAATGGGGCACTGTATCGATGAAGTGCAGTCAGCTTATGTTGAGGGTAGAAATATCCTAGACGGGCCATTGATTGTTAATGAGATTTGCTCCTGGGAAAAAAGAACAAAAAGAAAGTACTTCTCTTTAAAGCTGACTTTAACAAGGCTTTCGATTCTATTAATTGGGGATTTTTGGACGCTAATCTCACGCAGATGGGCTTCGGAGGCAAATGGAGAATGTGGATCAAAGGGTGCCTTCATTCATCTCATACATCGATCCTCATTAACGGAAATCACACAGATGAGTTCAAAATCTCGAAAGGAGTCCGACAGGGAGATCCTCTCTCCCCCTTCCTCTTCATCACGGCCATGGAAGGTCTCAGTGTCACAATGAGAGCAGCCTGCCAAGCTGGTGTCTTCCAAGGCATCCAACTGCCACATAGGGGGCCGCTAATCTCACATCTTCTATATGCGGATGATACACTGTTTGTAGGTGAATGGTCCAAACACAACATAAAAAACCTCGCAAGAATCCTACGTTGTTTTCTTGTGGCTTCGGGACTTAAAGTCAACTTCAACAAGTCAAAGGTGTTCGGAGTGGGAGCTTGTCCGCAAGAGGTGTCTCGCTGGGCAACACCCTTAGGTTGTGAACCATCGATATTGCCATTCACGTATCTTGGAGTCCCCGTGGGCGCTAACACGAGGCTCATAAAACATTGGAATCCAATTGTTGATAAGTTTCACAAAAAATTGTCGTCATGGAAGGCGAAAACGCTCTCATTTGGAGGGCGATTGACACTAATTAAATCTGTCCTTGGTAATCTTCCAAATTATTTCCTGTCTCTCTTTGTCGCACCTGCTGGGGTGTTGGAGAAACTTGAAAAACTTAGGAGGTTTTTATGGGGTGGATCCGAGGGCAATAAGAAGATTCATTGGGTCTCATGGGAGAAAGTGATAGCTAGCAAGGATGTTGGAGGTTTGGGTGTGGGATCTATAAAATCTCTCAACACATCCTTAATTGTTAAATGGTGGTGGCGGCTTCGAAATGAGCCCGATTTACTATGGGCCAAAGCCATCTCAAGCATTCATAACCTCGCTAATAAACCTGATAATCAATACTCCATGAAATCAACTGCAGGGCCTGGAACAATATTGCAAGTATCGAAAAGCAACTAGTCAAAATAGGCATCCCTCCCATCGATGTCATAAAAAAGCATGAGGTGTCAAACGGATACTCATGGACCTGCAGCCTTACGGATGATAGGAATTACCAGGTGCGCGCACTTAGACAGGTGCTTGAAGTAAACAATAGTGTAGACGCAAGAAAATTCTGGTGGATTAGAGAAGTACCAATCAAAGTGACATGCTTTGTGTGGACGGCAAAGTTAGGACGAATCCCCACTACCTAGGCTCTATCCACTCGAGGCATCAGTCTTCCCTCTACATCTTGCTGCCAATGTGGACATAATGATGAAACAGACATCCATGTATTGGTGCAATGCCCATTCGCAAAAACTGTTCTGAAAGGGATATTTCAATGGTGTCAAATTGCATTGGTAGACTTTCAATCGGTAAACGAGGTTCTAGATTATGCTTCAAATTGGGGAAATTGCCCAAAAAAGAAGAGAAGACTTATGGCCATTTGCTATGGGACTTTATGGTCTATATGGAAGGCAAGGAATGAAAGAGTATTCAACAAGAAAAAGGTGTGTGCCATGAAAGTTGTTGATATCATTATATCATCGACTTTCTTATGGTTTAAGCATAGAAATGAAAAAAACGATGTCAAATGGCCAAAATGGATTTCATATCCATTCAGTAGTATGTAATGGTCTTTGTTTTACTTTCTTAAACTTGTACTCTATTTCCCCTTCTTGCTAGGTGGGGTTTGCTTTCCTTTTATTTATATATCTCTCTTTTGCCGGTTCAAAAAAAAACATAAGCCCTTTTTAAAAGGGAGTGGGATGTATTATTGTACGGAACTTAACATAGAAATCATAAAATCTACAATTTTTACAAATAAATGCATATTGCCCTTCACGATTACATACATTAAATTAGAAATTCTTTAAATATAACTACAAATTACAAAAACGAATGACGGCGCTTATAATTTACTGATATAAAATGAATTCACCTACATTAATTTAAAAAAAAAACAAATTAATACAACATATTAGATATGAAAAAGAACTAACAAATTTATAGATTTAAACATGTCAGGATAAGATTCAAGTTTACCTTAATCCTGTTCTTAGTCATACAAAACCACTCATTTGGTAGGCATATCAGAAAACAAAAATAGCTGAGAAAATACAATTCAAATTAATTTACAAATGAAATAACAGAAATATGATTCGGTCAAATACAATAAAACTCTAAAATCATCGAAATAAAAAATGACAACACACCTAAACGATCTAGGTGCAATATTTTCATAACGTCCAATTTATTCAAAACATCGGC